CCTATGAAAAATGGGGTACAGAACTAAACAGAGAATTATCAACAGAAGAACCTCAAATGGCCAAAAGACACTTAAGGAAATATTCAACATCCTTAGCCATCAGGAAAATGCAAATAAAAAAAAAAACTCTGAGATACTATCTTACACTTGTCAGAATGGCTAAGACCAAAAACACCAATGATAGCTTATGCTGGAAAGGATGTGGAGTAAGGGGAACACTCATCCATTGCTGGTGGGAATGCAAACTTGTACAAACACCCTGGAAATCAGTATTTTAGTTTCTCAGAAAATTGGGAATCAACCTACCTCAGGATCCAGCAATACCACTCTTGGCCATATACCTAAAAGCTTCTCAATCATACTACAAGGACATTTGTTCAACTATGTTCATTGTAGCATCATTTGTATTAGCCAGAACCTGCATACAACTTAGATGCCCCTCAACCAAAGAATGTATAAAGAAAATGTGGCACATTTATACATTAGAATACTACCCAGCAGTAAAAAAATAATGACATCTTAAAACTTGAATGAAAATGGATGGAATTCAAAACACCATCCTGAGTGAGGTACCCCAGACCCAAAAAGATGAATATGATATGTACTCACTCATTGAGCCTATAGTTTATGATCCTAGGGAAGCTAAGTAACAAGGTGAACCCTTAGAAAAACATATATAGATCCAACTGGAAAGTCAAAATAGACAAGATTGCATGGGGATGGGGGTAGAAGGGAAAGAGGAGGGGAGAAAGGGGGAGGAGAACTTGAGGGAATGGAGTAATTGAAATGGAGGAAGGACAGAGATGAGAGCAAGGAAAGAGATATCTTAATTGAGGGAGCCATTTGGGGCTAACAAGAAACCTGGCTCTAAAGAAATTCCCAGGAATCCACAAGGATGACCCCAGCAAAGACCCTAAGCAATAGAGGAAAGAGTGCCTGAACTGTGCCTCCAAAGTCCAGTTGAAGAGTGGAAGGAATGAGAGTATGAGCAAACTGATGGGTAAACCCATGGAAATAGCTCACCAACTCCAGCCAGACAGGGAAGGAACAAGCATAGGTCAAAACTAGTTCCTCTGAATGTGACTGACAGTTGCATGGCTGGGGCAGACTGAGTGGCCACTGCCAGTGGCACCAGGATTCATCCCTGTTTGTACTGTATTTTGTGGAACTTATTCTCTTTGGATGAATATCGTGCTAAGACCAGATATAGTTGGGAGGGCCTTGGACCTTCTCCAAAGCAATGTGACTTACCCTCTCTGTGGAGTGGATTGGGGGGGTGAAGTATATGGGGCACAAGTGGAGGGAATGGGAGGAGGGAAGGCAGTGGGAACTTGGATTTATATATATATATATATATATATATATATATAATATTTATTTATATATATATAAATAAAAAAGATTGTTTTCTTTTTAAACATAAAATAATGAAAAGAATTAAAAAGGAAACATTCCTATTACTCAGCTTATTTGTTCTCCCCTGCTTCACAGTCCCTGACTTACCATTGCCTATGGTATTCAGTGTGGTTCATATCCCTGTGAAACAACCCCATGAAGACTTTCAATTCAATAAACATTCATCCCCACACATGAAGCACTTCAACAACCATTTTCATTGTCCAATAGTGAAGTAACTAAATTAATAATGCATCCTATGGGGAAATTCTTTCCCCGAACTGATGGCATTCTTTTATCTGTAAATTATGATGCCTATCAAGACCACCTAAATATGTCAGAACAAATCAATGACCAAATTCCCAATTAGAAGTCTATTACCTCCTTTCAGATACCATCAGTCATACTTAGAAGCAAAAAGTTGCTTATTGAGAACATTTCTTGTTTAGCAAATAAAAACAAAGCCCATAATATATTTAATATCAGATCTTGTAGGTCTTGTAAGTCTGGAACCTTTGAGATTCTCAAGATAGTTGTGAAATTTCATGAATAGTAGTGACATTAAACTACAATTTTTCTTAAGTTTACAAGAAAACAAGATCAAAGCATGTCACCAAAAACTACATGCAGATATGACTATGGAATCTCAAAGGCTATCTGCAACATTACATGGTAAGGTCATAGCATGTATTAGTGCCAAGATACGGGTTTTGAAACCAGTTAGATTTTGTTCTCATTCCAAAGCATTGATTACTATCTATGAGACGCTGGGAAGAACATGTACATTTTCTAAGACATATCTCTACCAGCTAAGTAAGAAGGGACATAATATAGCATGGCTGTTATGACCCAACAGTGCCAACTACAACTAACGTTTGGACTCAATAACAAGGCTCTTATCATCTTCATTAGTAGTGTGCAGAGATTCCATCTAGGAGGAAGTTTTCTTCATGTTTCTCTACCAACACAGAACTCCCTAAAGATCTGGTTAATAAAAAGCATAGCCTTAACTCGGACAGGAATGTTTTTTGAGAGGAACAATATTAACACAGTATCTGTCATTTCACAATGAAGCTCTAAGAATCTATTTTTTTTAACTCAGTCGATATGTGTTTTATAAGTCATTGCAACATATTTACTGGCATTACTTTGAAGTAGTTTGCTAGGCTGGGGCTCAAGGGAGGAACTTAAAATTCTATACTTTTACCTGGGTCATTAGCATTTAGGGAGTCAGTTTCTGTTCCCTAAAGTGGAACCACTCTTTGCATATAAGTACAGACAGACCAGGTCTAGTTCACATGAGGTCATGAGGTCCATTAGTACAGCTAGCTTAGAAGAATGGTGGAGCATCTGATGTTCAGGTTTTGTATTACTGAAAGGATACGGAAGGAGAAAGGTTAATAATTTTCACTAGCAGGTTCAAATCACTACCACCCCCCTTTTCCCAGTTCATATTTATTTAGCTGTTTCTTATTGAGGAAGGCAACAGCAGTATTGTAGGTTATGTGGTTTTGTATTAAATAGCTAGGATTGAGTTTCAAACCTGGTTTTATGATATTGGATCATAGGAATTAAGGGGAAGTTTTAATTTGAGTACACAGTGTCTTCTCACTGATAATCAGCAATGCCCAGCATGAAGCTTTGCGCCAACTACTCAGTGAGCTAATATATGCTACTAAAGGCTCTTGCACACAGTTGGTTATTATTTAACAGCAATTCTCCCGGACACTGAACATTTTGGAGCCAATGAGAGAACCTGCCCTTCCTGTCAACTAAAAGCCAAGCCTATTGGCATGACACTTGCACAATCCATTCCAAAGTTTGTTTGATTCCAGGAAACTGATACATAGGAACCATCATCCTTGGCAATTACCTTGGCTCAAATGGGTACTTACCAAATACAGGCCTGTGTACCTACTGAGGTATCTGCTGGAGACTCATGGTGTTGGCTCCACATACTTCAACTTCACTAGCTGCCAAATTTTGGGTTGAATTTGGTTGATAACTTTTGAGCTCTATTTTTAAGTGGAACTAGATGACAGTGTCAGTCATATTTGAGGAAATAGGATGTTTCTCATGATGGTATGGAGTGTCAGATTCTGGCTTTAATAGGTTCTATGTACATGCAGTTTCATCATCTACCAGTTTATGGGTATTATATCAAAGTAGTTAGCATCTCCTTTCATTCTTGGAAGTGACCTTGTTTGGCTAGTAAATTATATGGGCTCTAGTTTTTCCTATAAACATGCAAATGAAAATAAGGTGTCTGGGCCTGATTCATGTGCCAGAATAAATGTTTAAAGAAAAGCCTTAGGGAATTAAACTTTGATGATTAATGCTGAGAACCAGTGCTGCCAATTAATGTTAAGCTTGGCTCAAGTAGCTGGGAATGATTAGTTCAAATCAACCTACAACTAGCAGTGGCTAATCTGGGGGAAAGCAGCAGAATTTATGTGTACCTTGGGTATGTGTATATATGCATGCGGTGGGGGGAAAAGGCTGTGAGTGTTAAAGGTAAATATTTAATAGCCAATGTTTTGAGGAAGTCACTGAATATGGCAACTAAAGAGAGACGCACAGTCAATTCTGTGAGCCTGTGGTAGCTGGCTGCAGCATCATTAGTGAAGAAACTGAACTTAGCATGACTTTGAACACCTTTTTGTCATGTTTTCCTTTTATAGTGTTCATTCATTACTTTGGTAAGGGTAAATTTTGCATATATGCTATACACACAGATGCTTCGTTTATATATAAATATATATGTCCATTATATATATATATGTAATATATGTACGTATAATGTGATAGATAATATTGTCAACTTGCTAGGATCTAGAATCAACTAGGGGAATCACCCAAGAATCAAACCTCTAAACATGTCTGAGTGAGACTATCAAGGTTAACAGAAGTGAGAAATCTCACCCTAAGTGTGGGTAGCATCATTCCATTGTATGGGGTCCCTGACTGAAGAAAAAGAAGAAAGCAAATTGAGTGTTGATGCTCATCTCTCTTTGCTTCCTGACTACAGGCACAATGTGATCAGGGCTTCAAGTTTCTGCTGCCATGTCTTCCCTATCATGCTGGGCTGCATTCTCAAACTCTGAACCAAAATAAACCCTATTGCCAAATATTTTATCACAGTAACAAGATAAGTAACTAACAAAGAAACAAACTTATCTGTGTCTATGTGACAATCCTAATTACAATTTTCTTCATTTTGCACAAATATAGGGGAAACGCCATTGAACACACTGAATGTAGTGGTCTCACTGATTGGACTGTTGGGGTTCCAGGGGACAAGAGAGACCTAAGAGTTGGCTATTCAATTTGCTTCTGATCTCCACGATTTGCATACTTAGAATAAAACATCACCACTACAGTAGTGAGACAGATGCAAAATGGAAATTTTGAAATGAGTTGAGGGTTAGAGGAGAAAGTAAGATCTAAGTCTAAACATAGAGAAAAAAATGTAACATTTCAAACAACGAGAAAGATGAGATGGGATAACAGAGTGTGAGGTGCTGTGCATGGAACCAACTTTGCCCTCTAGACCAAGTATGTCATGTGGCTTCTTTCAAGAGTGGGAGGGAGATGAGGAAGAAACAGTCCATACTTTTGTTTATTGAATGCAGCTTTCACTAGTCACATGGCAACTCAATACAAACAGTCCAGCAATGGGTAGGCCATTAACTCTTGTTCTCATCAATGGAAACACAACATTAATAGTGAAGAGTAAAGGAAATGAGTAAAAAGTTCAGTGTTTCCTCCATCTGTGAAGTGAAGAGGTGCTTACCAACCCCAGAACAAGTCCTGAGGGAAACTAAGGTTACTAACTCCTGTGCTTCCAAAAGGGAAGTGCCTGACCCTTTTCTGGAAGTGCCTGACCTCTTTCTTCCAGTGGCTTCCATGTGGTCACATAAGTCTTCGGACTGGGTTACTGTGAACTATTAAGTTCTTCTAAAGGCCTGAGAGCGGAAGAACTATTAAGTTCTTCTAAAGGCCTGTGAGTACTGAAGTAGTTCCTTGAAGACCTTTCCTTGTGCGCTCAGTTACTGTCCATAGAAGAATGTGACTTGCATATAGTGTTGGCTTCATTTTTCTGTAGTTCCTGTCATAACCCTGGGTCTTGAGAGTAGGAACTCAGCATCAGGGGATCTCAGTGTTCATTCTGAAGGAAGCTGTCCATGTGTGAACATTCTCTGAGGAGGCTCATCTTTGCCCAGCCACTGCTGACTGGGGGAGCTGATTTTTCTTTTAGAGCTTTAACGATTAGGTAATTATTTTAGCTTGGAATCCTAAATCAAAATGAATAGTATCTCCCAAATTCAAACAAATCAAAACAAGAGAGACTTTGAGAATAAAGAATCAATTCATTCTACTTCCAGGACCCTACATATATAATGTCCCTATGCTGGTCTCCAGATGGTAGTTGGGATCCTTGACTTGCTCTCCACTTGGGTACCTGGCTAGGTGGCAGGGGAAATAAAGTTCCCTTCCTAGGAAGAAGTAGTTTGCTCCTCTTTCTTGGCATGAAGTAGAATAGCCCACTTCTTACTCCACAGCTAGGATTTGAACCATAATTATTAAAAAGCAATTAGAGCATCGAGAAATCCTGACTTGGTCTGTGATTTTGTGGTAAGTTGTTTACTCTTTGTTTGCTTCCACACTTCCATGTCCCATTCTGGAAGCACCTCATGGTGGTGGACTGGGTTGCTGTCCAAGATCTTAGAAAAGAACAGCTTTGAGGGGCCAAAGAGACAAAGGAAAACAAACCAAAGAAAACAGTGGTAGAGTTTGTCTTCAATGCTGGGCCCCAGGCAGCAAGTGGCTCTTCCTCAGTGGTATGTCTCTCCCTAGCGGTGGTCTTCATAGTGCTAGCTGTTGTTCTCTGCAGTGAGATATTTCAGGGCAGCAAAGCCATAGCGTCGGGACATGTCTTGTTGAAACTCTTCCTTCAGGGTTTTGAGACATATGCGGTATTGCTTGTTGGAACGGAACTTAGTGATGTCGAAACTGGGGGCATGGGGCATGTGGATCATGTAGGCATTGGGCAACACGATGAACTCGTACTCCTGGAAGGAGGAAGACAAGGTAATGAGAGATCTTGCAAGAGCCTTGGGTCATATATGACTTTGAATCAAGGGACTGGAGAATAACACTGGAAAGGGGGCATACTAGCTACAGAGTAACTTGCTTCAGGACCATGCCCATGAACTTGTACAAAATATAGGAGTCATCTAAACTTTGGTTTGCTCATCTACAAAGTGAGAGTGAGAAAATCTATCTTGAGGGATGATGATGAGTGTTTCACTTTCTTAATTCCCTGGAATGGGTAAAATTGTGTTTTATGAATCCCACAGGCAAATAGAGGAAAGTATAGGGTTTATTTGCAAAAGCGCTGTGAAAAGAGTCTAAAACAAAGGCAAGCAAAGCCTTGGTGATGGGAAAAATTAACTTTTCTTTAAACCTTCTCCATACAACATTTCTGGTCCCAGAAATACCACTGTTCTATCTAGGAACAGCAAAAGCAGGCCAAGGCTCATGGTCTGTAAACAGTTATGTTGGTCATGACATGGATATCAATGGATGGATATCAGGCTTTGTTTTGTTTAATGAGGACACTATTCCACAACCTTCTCCCAACACCAATGGTTCTCAGTCACCTAGCATAGCTCAGACTCAATGGAACAATTGTTTCATGGATAGCCATCACTAACCTAACTTAGTGTTCCAATATTTTGGAGTAGTCTTGCTGAGAAATATTAATACTGTGGCAAAAAGGAGAAGCCCGAAGAAGAATATGAATAGTGGGATTCAAGGGATCCAAGTATCCCCCTAACTTAACCAGAGCAGTTTTGTTCAACACAGAGGATGATAAACTACAGCCTTTCTGGTAGCTGTCTGAAACTGTACTGAAATCCAGCCATGCACATTTATTTACAGGCCATCTATGGAGGAAAAACAATTCTTGATCTGAGCAGGTGCAAGGTAGATTTGCAGGTCACACAATCTCCACACACTATCTGGTCTTCTGCAGAAAGTGTGCGGTACCTAGGCTTCACTTATTTAAATTATGCAGACTTCTTCTGAAGTATAAGTTTGTTAAGAATTGTATAAATGAATGAAGGCTTTCAAGATTAAACCCAGTCTAAAAGTCACTGCTGTTTTAATTGAAGGGTAGAATAATTAACCACATTTTAGTGGCATGTTTTGTGCTATTTACAGTGACACAATTATACAACTTGAAAGCCAAGTCATGACTAGTCATCCTGTGCTTGCCTTCCTTACTGGATGGAGGGGTAAGATGATACATTACAGGAGACTCACATTTGCCTAATCGTGGCCAGGAACCCAATTCTCTTGTGCAAGAACAAAAGTTTGAGGTTTAAAGCCTAGAAAATCAGATTCATGTTCTCATTTTTAGTCCCTGAACACATCCTGTTCCTCTGAAGTTTGTTTTTAATCATCTTATCTCCAAGGTTCTCTTTCAGTTCTAATATCTGTACCTGTTTCCTTCCCTGAATAATAGCAGTAAGGTGCTCTGTTCCTACCTGTGCATCCAGTTCCATGATGTGAGCCACTTTGTTCCAGCCAAAGCCCACAAATCTTCGATCGTACTCAGGGCAGTCTCGTCTCACAACAACATACGGCTCAAAATCAGCCTCCCACTCAACCCGATAAGGCATGGTGGCAGTCCGCCACTTGGCAAAGTTTGTGGGTGCATGGCCTTTAGTCCAAACGTGATACCTGGGAAATATGGAGATTGGCCAATGAATGAAAGGATGGAAGCTGAGCTTTTCCCAACCCTGGTGATGTGGAGGAAGAAGAAATGCATTTTGATATGTTTTTCCTACTGGGATGCACCATGTCCCTGCAAAACCCCCATTCAAGTTCAAACCTTTAACAGAAAACAGGACCTTTACAGGCACAATTAAGTTAAAATTAGGGTGGGACTTAATCTTATGTCCCTTTATGAGAGGGATATTTGGACACACAGATACAGTGAGACTAACGTGCAGATCAAACAGAGCTTAGAGTGACAGATCCATCAAGACAAAAGGGGGTATCAAGGATTGCTGGCAATCACCAGCAAAAAGACAGAAAGGAACAATGAAAGTGTCTTTCCTAGAGCTTTGGAAAACAACTTCTGACTCACAAAATTGTTAAAAAATAATCAACTGTTGAGTTAAACCACCTATTTTGTAGTGTTTTGTTACAGGAGCCCCAGGAAATTAATGCAGATTATCAGAGTTATCTGTCACTAAAGAGAAGACTTCATAAAAATGTCTGTGAACTTCCACGCACTTGGCAACATGGAATCTATATCTGATAATTCCCACCAGGGACCACTGGTGATCCTGCTTAATCCTTAATGATAGGGCAGAACCTATGAGTAGGATACCCTCTGGTTATATTATATTCTGTGGCAAGAGTGGATTTTTATAGATATAAAGCTTATTAAGCAGGTACCTCTGTACTAACAAAATTTGAGATTGCCTAGGTAGGTCTGATATGACTCATGAGCCTTCAGGTATGAAAGGAAGGAAAGAATCATGTTGTGAGCTCTTTATGAAATCAGGGTGCAAAGAGCAAGGAACTAGGAGTTAATGAGGGTATACATCCAAAAGCTAGTAAAGATGAGACCTTACCCTGTGGTAACAAGGGAAGAAATCCTATCAGTATCTAACGAACAAAAAGAGGAACATGTGGCACTAGAGGAGACCTGTATTCTTCAGACATCTGCTTTCCATCCAGTGGTACTCTGGGCAGAGAGTTGGCTACTCAGTGCAAGCTGACAGACAGTGAGGTTGAGTCTTTACTGCTTTACAGTGTTGTGTTTATGGTATTTGTTATCTGGTGATGAGAAATGACCACATGACAATCAGAAAAATATATTAGTTACAAATTTACTATGTTTGGGGACTATTTTAAATGCTCTAGACACATATTGTTTTAAATTCTAAAAATGTATCCAATGTTGGGTTGCAAACAGTAACAAGGCCCAGGTAGCCTAGCCAGCTTCTGTGCCACTGTCCTCAACACTCATACAAGAGGAAAAAAATCAGGGGTTTGAGGCTGATTAGGACTCTATTTGCACTCAATGTACCTGAATTTACCACATTCGTTCTTAGGTTCCCAACTCATCTCAAAAAAATTTCCTTTCAGCTCTAAGTTCCAAGGCTCTCTCCTTTCCTATCATTATATTGATGTTCTGTTCTTACTTATGTGAAAGAGTGCACTGTGAAAGAGTGGATGGATAATCTAAAACTTGAGAGGTATCTGAGAGGTATACCAGTGAGTGGGTAGTATATTGTCACTGTAAGTTGTGGGGAAGGAAGATGCAGGGAGTAAAATAAAGTTACAGTAGGGGGCAACAAAATCAGAAAGGGTTAGAAAACATGGTAACCCCGGTGTATTGGTTAGTTTTGTGTGTCAATGTGACACAAGCTAGAGTCATCAGAGAGGAAGGATCCTCAGTTGAGGAAATGCCTCTCTAAGATCCAGATGTAAGGAATTTTCTCAATTAGTGATCAGTGGGGGAGGGCCCAACCCTTTGAGAGTGGTGCCATCCCTGGGCTGCTGAGGCTGGGTTCTATAACAAAGTAGGCTGAGCAAGTCATGATAAGCAAGCCATTAAGAAGTACCCCTCTATGACCTCTGCAGCAGCTTCTGCCTCTAGGATGCTGCCTTGTTTGAGTTCCTGTCCTGACTTCCTTCAGTGATGAATAGCAACGTTGAAGTGTAAGCCAAATAAACCTTTTCCTTCTCAACTTACCTTTTGTGATGATGTTTTGTCACAGCAATAGTATGGAAAAGCTTTGTGAAATAAAAGTAAGGGTGAGATCCAATAGCTTAGTTGTAGGAGAGAGGAATACAGATAATTCATGTTTCTAATCTAGAAACATCTCTGTAAAGCTAGCATGGCTGAGAGAGTAAATGCCCCAAGGCAGGTGGCATTGCAGTGGCTGATGTGGGATGTCCTTCTGTATATGTGTTGCTTTTATTGGTTGATGAATAAACCTGTTTTGGCCAAAGGTTTATCAGAGTAAAGTCAGCAAGGAGATATACAGAGGGTAGGTGGAGTCAAGGAGAAGTCAAGGAGACACCATGTAGCTACCAAAGGAGAAAGATGCCAGAACCTTACAAGTAAGCCATAGTCTTGTGGTGCTATACAGATTAATAGAAATAGGTTAATTTAAGATATAAAAGCTAGGTAGGAATATGCCTAAGCCATTGGTCAAACAATGTTGTAATTAATTTAGTTTCTTTGTGATTATTTGGGTCCAGGAAATTGGAAAGCAAAAGGGCAGTCAGTCCCTGTTAACAAGTGGCAGGACTGAAACTCTTTCTTAAATCTTTGTTTCATCAAAGAGGATGGACTTATTAAACCATACAGCAAATTCAATGGTTAGGATAAACAGGCTAGGAAAAGGCAGCAACTTAAGCTTCAGTTTCATCAATGCAGCAATTTTTACTAAAGTCAGATATGAGAGATAGAGATAAAGAAAGGGGGGAAAGAAGAGAAAGACAGAAGAACTGGTACTTTAATGGAGCATGGAAGGAATATTGTGAGCTGTCAATCACAGGTCTAATCTAAAAATTAGGCTATGAGCAGTTGATTTTCTGAGAATTTGCTGAACAGGCAGCTTTGATACCTGGTGCCTTAGCAGAAAAGGAACAGCATAAGTGATGACTGGGAATTTATATGAGGTTCCAAGCAAAGTACAGTAGGTGCTCTGGACTAGGGTTCAAATCCCTGTTCCGCCATGTAGGAAGAGAGGACCTTGAACAATGAAAAACCTTAACAGGGCTTTGGGGCCTGCCTTATTGTCTGCAAGGTTTTAGGAGCCCAGCGAGAGGCCCTGCTCCTGTGCTGAGGAGATCAGGAGTGGTGAGTGACTGGCCGCCCAGCCGGCCAGTCATGGGAATGGAGTCTAGGCCTCCTCCAATTCCCTAAACTTTTCTGGCCATCCAGCTGGGCGTGTTCCTGGCTACTGGCTTTCTTTACCCCATTCCACCTTGCCCACAAGTACTCCTTTTAATCTGTGGGGCCCTTAGATCCCACAGCACAGCCTGCTTCAGGGCAGAGGGGATCTGAGAGCCAGCTCCAGTACTGAGGGGACCTAAGAGAGGGCAGACCAAAAAAAAAAAAAAAAACTACCAAGTATACAAGTATACAGTCAGCCACAGCAAACATTGGACCAAGAAGCCTCATTTGAAGGAAGAGGCGCCAATGCAAGAATTCCTCCAACAACCTGAAAAGCAACATGATAACACCAGAATCCAGTGAAGACACAACAGGAAGACTTAAACAACCTATCCCAGAAGAAGTAGAAGAAATTGACTTTACACGTAACCTTATGAAAATGATGGAGACCCTTAAACAGAAGGTAAAAAACTCCCTTAAAGAAATGGAAGAGAAGACAAACAAAAAGTTAGAAGAAATTAATAAATCTCCCAAAGATACCCAAGAAACCAAGAAAAAGCAATCAAAGAGGTAAAGGAAACAGTTCAAGACTTGAAGACTAAAATAGAGGTAATAAAACACAAACTGAGGGATGACTGGATATGGAAAATCTGGGTAAAAGAACAGGAACTACAGAGACAAGCATAACCAACAGAATACAGGAGATAGAAGAAAGAATCTCAGGCACTGAAGATAGTCTAGAGGAAACAGACTCATTGATCAAAGAAAACAGAAAAATCCAACAAATTCTTAACACAAAACATCCAAGAAATATGGATGAAAAGACCAAACCTAAGAATAATAGGGGTAGAAGAAGGAGAAGAATTCCAGATCAATGGCCCAGAAAATATATTCAACAAAATTATAGAAGAAAACTTTATATATAAAGGTAAACCTATCAGAATTACACCTGACTTTTCTATGAAAACCATGAAAGCCAGAAGGTCAAGGATAGCAGTGCTGAGGACACTAAGAGACCATGAATGCAAGCCCAGACTACTATACAAGCAAAGGTTTCTTTCACCATCAATGGAGAAAACAAGATATTCCAGGACAAAAAGAGATTTAAACAATATGTAGTCACAAACCCAGCCTTACAGAAAGTACTAGAAGGAAAACCTCAAGCCAAGGACGCCAACAATACCCACAATATCACAGACATCTGCCAATCCTCCACCAGCACATCTCAAAGAAGGGAAACACTACCACCACCACCACCCCCCCCCCCCCCCGCCAAAAATAACCAGAGTTAACAACCACTGGTCATTAGTACCACATAATATCGATGGATTCAATTCACCTATAAAAAGGCACAGGTTAAGAGAATGGATATGAAAACAGGATCCAACATTCTGCTGTTTACACGATACACACCTCAATCTCAAAGACAGACACTACCTCAGACAGAGTAGAGGGTTGAGAAAAGGTTTTCCAATCAAACAGACCTAAGAAACAAGTGGGTGTTGCTATCCTAATATCTAATAAAATTGATTTCAAAGTAAAATGAATCAGAAGGGATGGAAAAGGACACTTTATACTCATAACAGGAACAATTCATCAAAATGAAGTCCCAATCCTAAATATCTGTGCCCCTAATATAAAAGCACCCATATATGTAAAAGAAACATTAATAGAATTCAAAACACATCAAACCCCACACACTAATAGTAGGAGATTTCAACATTCCTCTCTCACCAATGGACAGGTCAACCAAACAGAAACTTAATAGAGAATCAGAAAACTAACATATGTAATGAATCAAATGGACTTAACAGACATC